TCTTCATCTCAAGCTCCCTTTCTATGCTCTCTAGAAACATAATCTTTGAACTTTGATGGAGATGGAGACACAGCAGCAACGCGTATTCAACGGCGCAAATAGACACCAAATGATGATATTGTCTTGACTAACTCGTGTTTAAACACGAGTAAGGATCCAGTGGTTGGCAACGAGCAAAAATCAAGAGCTTTTGGAAAAGAATAACCGCATACTATGTGGCAAGTACTCGGGTTGCTGGCTACGAAGAGAGAGAGACTACACATTGCAAGCAGTGTTGGAATAAGATTAATGACCTCGTCTGCAAGTTCTATGGTGCATATGAAGCTGCTACCAGACAGAGAGGCAGCGGCCAGAACGAAGATGATGTTCTGACAGCTGTTCTTGACCAACTACGGGAAGAAATTTAACTTGGACCACGCTTGGAGAGAAATTCGCAACGACCAGAAGTGGTGTGATCTTGTTACTGCAAAGAAGGCTGGGAGCTCGAAGAATAGGAACTATGAGGATGTTGGAGATGAAGAGACCTCTCAAGCAACAGAAAACAAACGTCTCCCGGGTCCTCAAAGGCAAGTGGTAAGAAGAAGGTGGTAGAGGAGAAAAATATTGATGAGTTTGAGACGATGTGGACGATCAAAGAGCGAGATTTGGCCGCAAAGGAGAGGTTGTATAAGCTTAATCTCCTTCAGAGTCTCATTCGAAAAAAGGAACCTCTTCCTAAATATGAAGAATCACTGAATAAAACACTCATAAATGACTTTTTTAAAGTGGAGTTGTCTTTCGTGCTTAAGATTGTTGTTCTTGTTCTTGTTCTCTTGCTTGTTTGATTGTTCTTCATGTTTTTCTGTTTCAATCTTGTAGTTGTTTAAATGTTTCTGTCTTAATTAAAATGTTCTAGTTATGCAAAATGTTTCTGTTTTAATTAACATGTTTATGTTTTGTTAGCTAAAATGTTTTTGATCTAAATGTGTCTTGTAATGCAGGTCACGGCAGAGAGTGTGACGAGAGTGGAGACAGTGAGTGTGATGAGACTAAAGTGTGTGTGTGTTGTTGTACTCTTGTGTCACGAAAATAGGAAACATTAAGTGTGTGTGTGTGTTGTTGTTGTAATCTTCTGTCGCGAGTGTTTTATAACACTGTCTTGTGTCTTTTGTAGTCTGAAAAGGGTGAGGACGTATGGTCACGAGAATGTTCAAGAGTTGTACACTACAAGAAAGAAAGGGATTTCTGACGGACTTTTCGGACCGATTTTTTTCGTCAGAAATTTCCAACCGTTTTCTAACAAAATATCAAAAAAATAAAAACCGTCAATAATCCGTCAGAAATTTCCAACCGATATATTTCGTCAGAAATTTCTGTCGTTTTCCAATGGAAAACCAAAAAAATATGGAAACCGTCAAAAACTCGTCAAATATTTTCAACCGATATTTTTCCGTCAAAAATTTTACAACCGATTTTCTTACCGTAAGAAATTTTCTCATCTTGTCTCATCCGCATGCTATTTCTCATTGGTTAACTTTAAAGCAAGGAAGCTTCTCATTGGCCAATTTTGAGGGGCAAAGATCAAAATCTTCTACCTTTAATTAAATGTCATCCTACGGTTATAAGTTAACCTATTAGTTTCCTTTTTCTCTTTTCTTTCTTTTGTCTTTTGTATTCTTCGTTCATCCAAGATTTTTAGATTAGAAACAGATTTCTTCTCAGCATAAACGAGCATGGGATTGGAGATGCTCTGAGGTATTCCTCATCCATTCAGTTTGTGCTTCTCTTTTATCTCACCATTAGAGATTATGCTTGCAGATCTGTGTGTATTCCTACTTTAGCTTGTGAAATCTATAATCAATGCAGTTTGAGATGGAGAAAATCACAAGTCAATTTTGGAAGATGTTGGTTTAGAGCTGTGCCGGAGTCGGAGCTATGCCGGAGTCACCGGTCTCAAGCGTGACGGAATCGAATCGAAGAAGCTTTGTTGTTGCTGGAGTCAGAGTGCCAGAGTCAGAGCTGTGTCGTCGTCACCGGTCGAGCGTTGAGGGTGCGGTGGAGGAAGACGACAGGAGGAGGAGGAGGGCGGCGGCTTAGAATTAGGTTTTTTTATTTGTATTGTTATATATAAATATATATTCACGTACTTGTTTTTATTAATCATATCATTTTTTAACAAAATATTTTTATTTTCTGACGGGTTATTTCGTCAGAAATTTTTGACGGTTTGTATCGGTTAGAAATCCGTCAGAAATTCCAACCGATTTCTGACCGTAAAAAAACTTCTGACCATATAGAACTGACCGTCATTCCCGTCAGAAATCGGTTAGAAATGACTTATTTTCTTGTAGTGGTAAAAACACAGTATAAATAAGAAATTATCATCAAGTTATTGCTATCCTCTCTATTTTCATTCTCTCTATTCTCATTCTCTCTATTCTATAACTAAGAGATTATCATCAAGAAATCTCCAAACCAAGCAAAGAATTATCATCACATACCAAACTCACAAAGAAGAAATCGACCAAACCAAACCAAGCAAAGAAATATCATCATCAAGAAATCGACCAAACCAAACCAGGAAGCAGCTCTCCATTCAACCAAACCAAACTCACAATATCACCATTTTATGTAAGATCTCTCAAATCTCTCCATTTTGTTTACCCAATATTTGTAGAATTATACAATTCTATATACCATAAAATTCTATATAAATTCATATCATCAAGAATAAAGAATTCTATTTAGTATAATGTAAATTCATATCTCAAATATTCTAATGTTTGTCATTTTTGTTTTAAGATTCCCAAACATCACATAACGTCTTCTTCTCATAATGAAATTGCGGATTCGCTTGATGAAACATTCAAGAATCTTGTCAATGTTCACGGTGATCAACAGAAGACAAGAAAAAAAAAGAATCTTTATCGAAAGAAACCGTGAAAAAGGCCACCTCTGGTTATGGAATGATTATTTTAGTGAGACTCCACCATGTGCTGAAAATCTATTCCGACGACGATTCAGAATGAACAAGTCATTGTTCATGCGTATTGTTGATCGCTTTTCCAACGACGTTGAATACTTTCGTCAAAAGAAAGATGCATCTGGAAGGATGGGTCTCTTTGCACTTCAAAAGTGTACCGCAGCTATTCGTGTGTTAACATATGGTTCAGCGCTTGATGCGGTCGACGAATACCTCAGGCTCGGTGCAACCACTGTTCGGTTATGTGTGGAAAATTTTGTGGAAGCAAGGATAGATTTGTACGAAGATGAGTACCTGAGAAGACCAACACCGGATGATCTTCAACGCCTACTTCATATTGGAGAGCTTCAGAATTTCTCGGGATGATAGGAAGCATCGATTGTATGCAGTGGGAGTGGAAGAATTGTCTCACCGCTTAGAAAGGCCAATATTCTCGTGATTCGGGAAAACCCACAATCGTTTTAGAGGCGGTTGCTTCATATGATCTCTGGATATGGCATGCGTTTTCCGGACCTCCAAGTACCTTAAATGATATCAATATTCTTGATCGCTCACATGTTTTTAATGACATAATAAATGGTCAAGCTCCGCAAGTGAATTTCTCGGTGAACGGAAATTCTTATTCAATGGCTTACTATCTCACCGATGGTATTTATCCAAAATGATTTACTTTTATCCAATCTATTTCACTACCACAAGGTCCAAAAGCGGCTTTATTTGCTCAATGTCAAGAAGCTGCCAGAAAAGATGTCGAGCGTGCTTTCAGAATCTTGCAAGCGCGATTTGCCATTGTTAAAAATCATGCACTCTGTTGGGATAAAGTCAAGATCGGGAAGATTATGAGAACATATATCATTTTCCATAATATGATAGTAGAAGACGAACGAGATCAAGGCACCCAATACGATGTTACGAGTTTCCATCAAGGAGAAGGCAGCGGAAGTTCACATGTCGATTTCATGTTTTCAACAGATACTCTTACAAATATTGCCAATCAGATGGGTGATCGAGTAAGAATTCATGATAAACGAGCGCATCAACAACTGAAACGTGATTTGGTCAAACATTTATAGCGTAAATTTGGATGTGATCAAGAAAACAACTGAACTTGAAAGCCGCTTTCAAATAATTATTGTATATTTGTGTAATATTTTTTTAATGATAGAATGTTTTAATGTTTTTATTTTAAAATTTATATTTCAAATATTATGCTTAATTTTGTATTTTTTAATAAAATTATGTTTAATATTTTTTTATTTTTAAGAACCCTAATTAAAATATCACTAATAAACTAATAAAATTAAGGATCTCTTAACAAAATCCCTTAACTACACCTTAAATACTAAAAATATCACTAAGCCACCCTAAGTGGATAACACCAATAGCCTTAAGTCTTTGAAAGTGTTGAGGAGTCAAATCAGTGTATACGTGCTTTACCTTATTTTATCTGAAGGAGAAATAGATACATGAATCTCCGCCACATTTATTCTATTCTCCACGTAAAGGATGGTCGTCGCATAAAAATGATTAGATAACTGTTGTTGAAGACTAGTTTTGTCTGAAAAATCGTGTTCGTCCATTTCAGTGGCTCTGCTGCTTCCTTCGTTAAGATGGACGCATGATCGGATCCAAATTTATTTCAGACACACAATTGTCATCTGCTTCACAAATATTTTATTAAGTTTTTTTTTTAAGTCACACACTTTACATTAGCTGTCGTCTCCTCTCCTCTCCTCTCCCTAGTCGTGTTCTTGCTTTAGCTGAGGAACGTGAGACTCTTCAAGATTTGAGTTTCAAGGTCTGTCTTTGATTAATTTTTGTTTTTTCTCTTTCAATCGTTTTGGATTAATCATGAACTCTGCCTTTGATGAGTTTCTAATTTCTAATTTGAAAAGGCGTCACCTTTCTGCTCTACTGTATGTTGTTCTTGGTGCCTTACATGGATTCTCACAAAAGATTTTTTTTTGTTTGTTTCGATAAGGTTGAAAGTGAGGTAGCGATTGCTTTTTAAGTGAGTGGAGATCAGATCAGATAAAAAATGGCTTTAGAGTATGAGTCTCTGAATGAAAACGTGAAGAAGTGTCAGTATGCTGTAAGAGGTGAACTCTATCTCCGAGCTTCTGAGCTTCAGAAAGAAGGCAAAAAGGTAATACCCTTTCTTGTGTCCTTTAGATCCAATCAAACCTTATGATAAGTTGAGCATACTTTACAAGGGACTTGATATGCATTTGCAGTTATGATCTGGCACTTGATTTGTACATATAGTTACTGACAGTGTTTCAGGTTTTGCTATAACTTGTGTTGAATGTGTTACATAACAGATTATTTTCACAAACGTTGGGAACCCTCATGCTTTAGGACAGAAGCCTCTCACATTTCCTCGCCAGGTATATAGTATACTTCAATCTATCCTTGAGAGGTTAGATATTAAAAACAAGAATGAATTGGTGCAGGTGGTTGCGCTCTGTCAAGCTCCGTTTCTACTAGAGGACCCGAACGTTGGAATGATATTTCCAGCTGATGCTATTGCCAGAGCTAAGCATTATCTCTCCTTGACCTCAGGCGGTTTAGGTATTATTGTGTTCAGTAAAAGAACTAATCAGCTACTTCTTAATTTATTAAGTTATATCATTCCTCTCTGTGTGTGTTTAAACAGGTGCTTACAGTGACTCAAGAGGCATTCCAGGAGTTAGGAAAGAGGTTGCTGAGTTCATTCAAAGACGTGATGGCTATCCAAGGTGATGATTGCCTTTCCCTTTCTGTTTTCGATATAAGATATATATATCTCTCGTAAAAACATAAACCACTCATGCCTTCTTCTTCTTATTCTTATTTTGCATATCACAGTGATCCAGAACTCATATTTCTCACTGATGGAGCTAGCAAAGGTGTTATGCAGATCTTGAACTGTGTTATACGCGGTGAGGGAGATGGGGTAATGCTCTCTCTTCCAAGAAATTCCTATAGTATTATTATCTGCTATGATTTTTACCTCTCACACTTCTTTCATTTCCGTTTTGCAGATTCTAGTTCCGGTTCCACAGTATCCACTCTACTCAGCTACCATCTCACTCTTAGGTGGTTCTCTTGTTCCTTACTATCTCGATGAGTCTGAAAACTGGGGTCTTGATGTTAATAACCTCCGACAATCCGTTGCTCAGGCTCGTTCTCAAGGGATATCAGTGAGCACTCTCTCTATCTCTTTTTTCTTCTTCTCTTGCAGTTAGTGTAGAAGTTTATGTCTTTGTTCTTACTGATTTGTCTTGAATGGGTATATACAGGTAAGGGCAATGGTGATTATTAACCCCGGGAACCCAACTGGGCAGTGTCTAAGTGAAGCTAACTTAAGGGAGATATTGCGGTTCTGTTATAACGAGAAGTTGGTTCTTCTGGGAGATGAGGTTTATCAGCAGAACATATACCAAGATGAACGCCCCTTTATCAGCTCCAAGAAGGTCAGCTTCTTCTATCTTTGCTTTTCATGTTTTAGTGAAGCTTTTGCCTGATTTGTGATCATTCATTTTAACATTGAACATTTTTAAAAAAGGTTTTGATGGATATGGGTTCGCCGTTCAGCAAAGAAGTCCAGCTTGTATCTTTCCACACTGTCTCTAAAGGTTACTGGGGAGAGTGTGGACAGCGAGGTGGTTACTTTGAGATGACCAACATCCCTCCCAGGGTTTTTGTCTTTAAACTCTTTGCTTTAAGCTGATTTTAACCATAACTTGTTCATTCTTTACTATGGTTTTATGATTATGAAGGTTGTTGAAGAGATATACAAGGTTGCATCAATCGCCCTCAGTCCCAATGTCTCTGCGCAGATCTTTGTAAGTGAAAAGATTAAATGTGGATTTGCTTTTGTAGATATGTTCTGAGAGTGATATGAATGGTGCAGATGGGTTTGATGGTTAGTCCTCCAAAGCCTGGAGACATTTCATATGACCAGTTCGCCCGTGAAAGGTACATTATTATACATAAACGCCACTTTTAAGCATCACAATGATCATCCCTGGATAAATCATTAATATCCCCATTTTGTAGCAAGGGGATTCTTGAATCTTTGAGAAGAAGAGCAAAGATTATGACTGATGGATTCAACAGCTGCAAAAACGTTGTCTGCAATTTCACTGAAGGTAAGAACAAAAATAAGAAGCATAAACATATATTAAGACATTACTTCTTCTTGTTGTTGATTCGTGTGTGTATATATATGTTAGGTGCAATGTATTCGTTTCCTCAAATAAAGTTACCACCAGGAGCTCTCCAAGCTGCTAAACAAGCAGGAAAAGTACCAGACGTTTTCTACTGTCTAAAGCTCTTAGAAGCCACAGGAATCTCCACAGTGCCTGGCTCTGGATTTGGACAGAAAGAAGGGTATAAGAATTCGTTTTCATTTCTTTCTGTTTTGATGATCTTATCTTATGTGTTTATAACTATTGGTTCTTGTATTTTGTACAGTGTGTTCCATCTGAGGACAACAATCTTGCCTGCAGAAGAAGAGATGCCAGAGATCATGGACAGTTTCAAGAAGTTCAACGACGAGTTCATGACTCAGTATGAGAATAACTTTGGTTATTCCAGAATGTGATTACTTCTTCTTCTTTTGATGATGATGATGGAACGACTATTGTGTTCTGCTACAATCTTTAAAAAGCTAAATCTCTGTAGTACATACACTTTCTTCTCTATCTATAAAACCTCTCTCTGTCTTTACTTTTTTTCAATTGCAAATTGATATAAAGTCTTTTTTTCTTTTTGTGTTCATATCTGTTTGCCCTATGTTTACTCATAATACTTCCTAAAACTATCCTTTTTTTTTTGCTTAAATTTCTGATCAACGAGATTTCTTCAAATTTATATCATAGGTAGAGAAACAGAGATGAGCAGAATTGAAGAAGAGAAAGACTTCGGTTCTGTTTCTGTGTTCTTTGTTTTTTGTGAACAGTCTATAATCTCAACATTTGTCGTGTGAGGTAAGTAAAATAAAGAGCAGGAAGAAAAGTTTGTGTTATAGGTGCAGTGTAAGAGTGTTGAATGACCTTGGCGCTGAACACCCAAGAAGAGCGAAATTCTTATTGATAGTGGCTATGATAACTTGTGTATATCCATTGGAGTAGAAATGTCAATGACTTTAATCGTGTTACGAGACAAGTATCCAGCAATGTTCGTTAATGATGAGAAAATTAAAGGACTCGTTAAGCAACTTACTTCTTTGCTGGCAATAACCATTGTCATCATCAACAACGTTCTTCAGCCTATTCTTTCTGCTAATTTCTCTTGCAGCACTAAAACCCTAGATTGCATCAAGCTCAAGGCCATTGTGTTCAAATTTAATGTGTAGCTGTTGGAGCTAGGGTGTTACTAACTATGTGGCATACCTATTGGTCTTGTGCTAGGTTACAAGATGGACAATGATAATTGATAAACTTCTAGAGTAGTTATGAATGCACACGGGATATGGACAGGAATGCAAAACTGGAACGGTTGCTAAGACTTACAAAACCAACTGTGACAGAGGTGAGATGCATCTTTTGTTTTTATGAACAAGTTTACAATTTTGTGGGTACTCAGATAGTTTCGTCAATGGCAGAAGCTAGAATAAAGAAATGAGATACAGGTCGTGAAGGAAGAGATTGAAGAGAGTAAATCAAATATGAAGTTTAAACTATTCAGGGGTTGAAAACAATCAAAGAGGATGATGGTCATTGAACTAACCCATATGCAGTTTAGCTATTGACAGAATTAGTGCTTTTAAATCTTCACTAGGGTAAAAACATTAATATAAAAATCTCAAAACATAATGTGATATCTAAGAAGAGCTAATTATGTTAAAAGACATTCAGTAATATTATATACATGAAGACCCAAACAAACCAAACTTGCATAAGCAACGAACTAACAGTCTTAATGACTCATTTCACAAAAAGACAGCAAACAAGGGGCAAACACATTCTGTAATTACTCATTTCACAACAACAATACTTGAAAAATGAGACTAAGCGTCCAAACAAAAATGGAAAAGAACACCACTTTCGATGTACAATGCAATGATCCCTAAGAAGACCAAACAAGCAAAACATGAATAGCAAGCAATGATAAAATCACAAAAACAGTGCTTCTCATTTCTAAACATGATGTGATACTGAAGAACAAGAGAGTGAGATCATTACACATACAGTACCCTATATGAAGACCAAACAAGCAAAACATGAATAGCAAGCAATGAGCTAACATATTGTCTTCCCCAAGTATGTGGGGAAGAATCAAATCAACAACTCAATGAAACCAGAACAATCTATAGCAAACATTCAAAAAAACGCAAAAATCAATACCACATTCAATCTCCAAACAACGATTATAAAACCCATCAATATTAAATAAAAGATCTCTCATTCCAAAACGCAACAAACTTCCAAGTCCAACAAAACGATTCCAAAAAGACAGTACTTAAAACAACAAAACGCAAAACAGACCTAAACTTAAGCAGTGAGGACAACGGCACCACCAGCCTCCTTAATCTTCTTCTCAGCAGTCTTCGAAATCAACTTAGCCTTCACAACAAAAGGCTTCCCCTCAGGCAAATGACCTTTCCCCAAAACCTTAAAGAACCCATGCTGCGTCACATCAATCATCGGCACCTTATCCTTCCCCGCCTTAGCCTTCAACTCCTCGGGAACAAGAGACCAAAGCCTATCGAGGTTAACGATAGGGCAATGGAACTTGTTACGGAGCTTGTGGAAGTACCTCATACCAACCTTACCGAAGTAACCAGGATGGTACTTGTCGAAGAGGATACGGTGGTGATGCATACCTCCAGCGTTACCACGACCTCCTGGATGCTTCCGGTGCTTCCCGATACGTCCGTGACCCGCGCTGACGTGGCCTCTCTTCTTCCTGTTCTTCTTCTGCCCCGTCGCCATTTTTGGGATTAGATCTAGGGTTTTTTGTCTGCGGAGTTTGGTGTTTGGTTTTTATAGGAGACTGTGAACGGCTAGGGTTTGCTATTAAGAGGTTCACAAGAAATGTCTTTGTATGTTTGGGCTTTTTAATGCCTGCGATAATAATTTGGGCCGTTGGTATTGCATGAACGAAAACGTTACCGTATCAAAACTCTTTTCTCATAGCTTTTGTATTGGAGAAATTGTCAAAAATAGCATTTTTTAAGTAACCATTTTCATCTTTATCTTAACTATATTTATTCTTGATTTTAAAGAGATGAATATACATTTATAACCTTATAGTTAACTAATCTAACCTTATGATTTAGATTTGAAAGGGAGAGGGAAGGTTTGGAAGATAAGATTTAGAATTTTAATAAAAATATACATAAATATTTGAAAAACAAAAAAAAAAACTTAAAAGTAGTTTTAAAATGAAATTTAGAAAAGAAAAAAACAAAAGAATTGAAAAAAAAAATCAAAACAAAGTTCTACGAAAAGTTTGAAAAAGTTGAATTCAAAAAGTTAAAAAATATTTATTTATTTAAATAATTATTTATATTTATAAATCCAAGGTATAAATATCTTTTATCTCCTTAAAGGAATCTCATATTTAGGTATTTTTAAAAATGTCCAATTAAAAAAATAAACATGAATCAAACAAAATGTAAAATTGAAATTCTCCCTTTGTATTATTCATTATGCATTGTTCAAAAACAAAAACAAAAACAAAAACAAAAACAAAAACAAAAACAAAAACAAAAACAAAAACAAAAACAAAAAACAAAAACAAAAACAAAAACAAAAACAAAAACAAAAATTTTTATTTTCATTGAACACAAACTTTTCAAAAAACTAACTCTGCAAATATGTGTACTATTAGATGTTGGACACGAATAAAATGCTCCAGTACTCCTGCCAAAAAAAACTATAATAATCATACCCAAAAAATTAATTAAATAAATCTTTATTTCAATTCGAAAAACTAATAAAAGACCAACAAACCAAAAGAAATATAGATAATTACAAGCTATCTAGGGGTATTTCGCGAATCATCCAGGTCTGATTGGGTAAAATTCAGATCTCTTTGTCCATAACTTGAGAGAACTTAGTAAGCCTTTGCATAACTGTAAAACTTGGTGTAAGTGTAACTGTAATCTAAGTTGAACTAAGTCTCACTTTTAGTAACTGTACAAGTTAGTAAAAGTTCAATTAGTTTTGATTGTATCTTTTACATTTGTAATATGTTCTTTTTTTTAATACAGTATTGTTATTGATATATTTATTGAAATTAAAATAAATAAAGATTACTTTATAGAAAAAAACTAAAGACATTATGTGAAAAGTATTTTACATAAACTTACTAAAACTAGATAAAAATACATCTCATAACTCATAAACAGACAACTAATCTTCAATTGGCCAGTAACCAGCGGTTAAATGAATATCATTGCAAAAGTCTCAAGCTGCACATTACCAGAAACAATGATTGCATCTCCGCCGTGTTCTTGATCCATCTATGGAGACTACAAACACCAGTTCTATTATTATGGAGCACCAGCAATCATATGATAGGTTGAGATCTAATTCTTTCAATAGAGACATAAACATCTCAGGTTTTTCGTAAGCACAATGGCCGGAGAATATCTTTGTAGTGATCATGTGATACATCCGATCAATAAATTCACGAGTAAAACTAGGATAATTGTGAACCAATCCTCTATCATCAACACTAAATGTTAAGTTCAGCATACCGTCTACATACTTGGCCAACAACAATCTTCTCTCACCAGCAAAATGGATTTTTTCCCTTCCTTCATCAAGTAAATAAAGGACGAAGAACTTATACATACCTAAGCCTGAATGTTGTAAGAGCATTGACCTCATATATCCAGTCATTCAAGTGAAAGTGATCTGCAGATCGGTATAAGTATTCTTCTCTGCCAACTAGATTGAACCCAGCGAAAGCAACTATTGCACTATGGAAGTCTCGGAGATTGCTTGTTGCTATCTTGGAGAGAATCTTATGAAGCAAAGAATGAGGCAGAGAAGCCAAGTTGAAGTTCGCCATGGAAAGATATTCGTTTTATCAAGTAAATGGAGATATTTTCGTTTTATTTATGAGGATAAGGTGATAAACCATTTTATAATGGGTATGATCCTGTAAGAGATGAGATTGTATTTAGAGATAAATACTGTAACTTAATGATAGACACCTCGAGAAGATACGACTTCTCACTTGAACATTCGCATGCCTCTAATTGTGATTTGATGGAGAGACACGAGTAGAAACTGCAACAGTCACCTCTCTTGAGGATAGTCGTCATTAATCTTGACACACCTTCAGAAGACACGATTTGTATAACTTTAATCGATTGTATAATTAAAAGTAACGATTTAGATTGTCTAAATTCATGAAACCAATCAAAATTTTGACAATTTAGATTGTCAAAATATATGAAACTATATAAAAATTTTACAAAATTAGATATTATATTGTTATATTTTGCAGGAAATGATAGCAACAGTAGTATTCCAAACTTATTATACTTAGTTCATATTATTTAATGATAGTAACTAGCAGTATACTAGATAGTAGATGAAAATGAAAATATTTATTTTGAGAAAAATCCAAATTCAATTGCAATAGCATATCCCTTTAATGGACTTCTCTCAGGGAAAAGTCATCTATAATCATCACTACACTTGCATATAAGGGTACTGCATTTAAATGTTTATTTCATTTTTGAATTGGATCAAACTTAAGAATGATTGTTATTTAAATTATTTTCATATAATATTAGTTGCTCAGTATTATCTCCAAATATTCAAGTTAAACCAAATTTTTTATGTTAAATTAAGATATTTTGGTATACATTACGCAAATTTATATTTTATATATCATTTTTATTTTATAGATTTTTGAAATTTAAAGTACATATGAATTTTAAAATTTCAAAACAATTTAACGGATTATTTGAACCCGAACCGAACCCACAAAGATCTGAACCGAACCCGGACCAAAATTTATAAATACTCGAATGGGGTTTAAATCTCTAGCCTTAAAACCCCAAAATCTGAATAGATTCAAACCGAACCTGAATGGATACTCGAACATCCACCCCTCTCTGTAGCTTATAACGTACCGTTATTATAAATTTAATTACCCTGCAAAAATATTTACAGTAACAATTTTAAAGTTACAACTAATATAAATACAACTAAACTTTTATATTTAATATTTTACAGCCACAATCAAATCAATCATCACCAATACGTTAGAAGATGGAAGTTTTTACTCCTCGAGATGGAAACAAATATTTAAAATATGTTAGAACATTAGAAATAAACATACTGATTTTGCTTCTCGATATGGAAATAAATATTTAGTCGGATGAAGCTTTAAACAATAGTCTTAGAAGTAAAACATAAGATGCAAATAAATATTAGACGATTAGCATATATGATGATCAACAAAAACAAATATCTTAGATTCGTTTACCGAATTAGAATGATAATTAGTATATTAGTAAAATTCATCATAGCTACTATATAAATAAACCACCAGTTTACTGCTTAAAATTTGATTTTAAATAAACTAAAACTCGGCTTTCCTTTTCCTAGATTAAATGGGACGTGTTACACAAAAACCTGCGTAGCTATATATAGAAGATGAAAGGGGAGATGTTCAACAATAATCATTCGGAAATCTATTTTTTAGATTCTTTCTCAGTCGAAATTAAAAATTGTAACAGGTTAGAAACAAATGGCATTATCAACTTAAAATAAAATTCTAAATAGATTTGCTGGAGTTAAAAATCTTTTTAGTAGATATGTTTTTTTATATTTTTCTGAATAATTAATCAGTCAATTATTAAACGATAATGATAAATGATCAGTGGATTAGATATAATTAATTAAATAATTTAAGGGTTGATTTCAAATTCTACTATTGTTTTAATAATTTAGATTACCCCTAAACTTCATCATAATAAGTTTTTTTTTTTGAACAACCATCACAATAAGTTAAATCGTCTTCTTGACTCCGGACATAACATTTCTCTGAAAAAAAAAACAAAAATCAATTCATCATCTCTCAAACAATATGACACACTACAATAGGCTTTCTGAAGTTTCTTATAACGAGAAGCTCACAGCTTGGCGTTTCAGAGTCAAAATACATAGAATCTACCCTTTTGATTCATATGTTACTGGTAGTGGACCACACTGGGTTTATATCTTAGCAGATGAAAATGTAAGTGTTAAATCATCATCTATCTGGTTTCTAATATCTTGAAAAAATAAAAAATAAAACTGATCCTTGAACTTTATTTATGCAGAGAACCAAAATGAAGATGACCATTCATGAAGGCTACGAAGATAGGTTTAGAGGCCTAGAAAAGCAAGAGGGAAACTGGGTGGAAATCTTTCGGGTAGAAGTTCACCATGCCTATCCAGGTTTCCAGGCAACAAACTCTCGATTCACACTAATTGCTACGCGCCATACGCAAATCCACATCATCAATCCTCTGAACAATCGGCTTTACATGGACTTCAAGAACATCCATGAAATCCCTCACATGAACCACAAGGACCGAAACTATCCCATAGGTATGAATGCTTACAACTAAAATTAAAATATATATCAGATAATTAAATGTAAGTAACAAAAGCGGAAACACTTATCTGATAGATATAATGGGAGTGGTCTTCAACACGAAAGTCCATTTCGATGATCCTGCAAGGCCAAATATGGTGTTTTACATAAGGGACAACATGTAAGTAGAAAGTATCATATGATCAAAGCATAATTTATACATTAGTGAAATTGACACACCTTGTTTTATTCATCATAGTGAGAGTCAGATAAAATGTGTGGCAACTGGAGATCATGCATATGCCTTCTGGGAGGGTCTTGAAAACATGAGAGGTCGTGGATAGGTTATTGTGGTCCTTAAGATGTGGAGGGTCTGGAGACTTTTCAGTAAGTGTAGTTTATGTGTTTAGTTTTAAATGTGATATTTGAGTAAATAGGTTATTTTGATTCATTTATACAGGTTATTTTGGTACTGAATTATGGCTTGAGACCGTGGGTGGATTGTCTGACTTCAGGTTCAATCCGCTTTTGCTAGAGGTTGAGGAGTTCAGACAGTCGGTCAATAACAGTGACCCTTATGTTCAGAGGCACGGGGCTATAGGGCCTTTGTAAGGTTTTATCTTATGTATTAACGTTTCTGAAACTTGTTAGTGTGTGTTGAAACTTGGTTAGTGATGTTGAATGCTCTTATTTTATGTTGGGTTTCTTAACTTTTGTAATTATCCAACTGCATAAAATCTCAGAAAACTTGAAGTTACCATAAATTTATAAATGGGGCAAAAATTGTTTTAAACATGTCAAAATTGTTTTAAATAGGTCCATTTTGTTAAAAGTTTTACTTTCTCAATTGTCCAACATCGTAAACATAGAGAAACCTTTTCAATTGACCAAACTTCATAGTAGTTTAACTTCGCATAAATTAGAAGAAACTCACAAAAAATTAAAAAAACATAAAGTTTAACTTTGTCAGTAGCTTTAGAAATTACTTGTACATCAAAATTCCTAGAACTGCAATGATACTGATGATAATAACACAAACTTCTGATATCATGATCTTAGGCATTATTTTGGAACCTTCACCTTTTATTGTTGCTTTGAGCAACTGAACTTTTTCTTCTAGGCTTCGAACTGGTAGTCCAACTGTTGAATCGCATCGGTGAAAGCTTCATCAACCCATTTGAAAATGTGATTGTCGTTCTCGAGCTACAACATTTTGTTCAAAAAATTTAAACGTACATACAATAAGAATAAGCCTTCGACAACTAAACCTAAACAGACGTACCCTCATTTTAACCGCATAGATAAAACCGGTGATAAGGATTTGGACCAGATTTGGAGATGAGCTCATTCATTCTCTCCCTGCATCAACACCTAGTTATTTCTGGAGTTCTTACTCGTCTCCGACCACTGGTAATACCCCAGTCGTGGAAGACGAAACGAACATTATTGGGTTTGACAATATTTCTCTTTCGGGGTTGGTAGAGAATAAAGGTATAGAGGGGAAGAGAGAGAGAGAAGTGGAAGATAGAGAATGAGAAACCCCCAAGATAATGGTTTTAATACTTAGCAAATTGGGAAATGGGGGAGAGTTAAATTAGAAATTTGAAAAACTGGAGGGAGAGAAATTTTTATCCTACAATTTTCGTGATAGAAGTTTCACCAAATTTACAGTTTTACATAAAACATCAAAGTTGTACTTTATAATTTTTTCCATTTCTTTTAGTTTTACTCTATTTAAATGACTGATTTTATGGTTATATCAATTATATTATGTTTCCTAAATTCATTTCTCATATGATCATGTAAACATAAATTTTCTTTCATGCCATAGTAAGTTTTCAAATGAAAAGAGGCTTTAAACACTTGCCAGTACGTAAACATGTTACTGGATTCAGAAAAAAAAAACATTCCAGTATATTTAATATCGTGCGTAGGAGGCTTTTGTTCATATCGCTTATCTGAACTGGGAGTTTAAAAAAACAACTCTCTTTCAATAAAAAGAAAAGGAAACTCGTTTGGAGATAAATAAATATATGAATATACGTTATACTTATATGCGCATTTAATTGTAACATATGAAAAATGGATATATAAACATATAACATATCCTTTGAGGAGAAAAAAAGGAAATTTAGCATTTTACAAGTGCATGAAAAAAGACAAACGCAACAATAAAAGCATAACGTAGCCGTTGTGTTGTTTATAAAAGAAAGCTATCGCTCCTTGTTCGGAAAAATCGCTAAACCCAACACAAAAATAGAAATCAACAACTAACAATGTCGAGTTTCGGATATCTTTCTAGTAAAGACGCTTCAGCTGTGGAGGATCTCCTTTCACAGACCATGGATCTCTACGTTCTTGAGCAAGTCGCCGCCATCAACCTTGCTGGCTTCACCGACTCTGCTCTTCCCACTAATCTTGAAACCCGTTTCCGTCGTCTCAAATCTCTCCCGGTTTCTAGACAACCCGACCCAGTTTCTTCGTCCAAGAAGCTTCCCTCCCACTCCAAGAGCATGGCTGCTTCTTCCTTTTCTGTTTATGAGAAAAGGAACTTATCCGGAAGAATAAAACGTGTTCCGAGTGTGCAATCTCGTCCGTTGGTTTCATCTTCTGACCAAACGCGAGTTTTCTCGGGAAGAATCAAACGCGACTCGATTGGAAACATCGGTTCGAGGAGACTTTCTCGAGATGGTAAGGTTTTGTCGCGACCAACAATAACTACACAAACACTGAAGCTGCTTCCTAGAGAGAAAACAAGAACTAGTTCAGCTTCGTCTGTCTCTATTGATTTAAAGTCGTCATCGTCGTCGGAACCAGACCAAGAAGAACGGTCAAAACAGAAACCAAAGTCGAAGTTGTCAGTTTCGTGGTTTGACACGTTATTATTACCATCACGAGCCATGGGTTGCTTATCTTTCTCCAAGCATAACGTCATCAAAACAACAAAAACTTAGTCAAGAACAGCAGCAAATCGTATGATCCCTGAGTCGAATTGACAGCTGAATAATGACAAGCATACTTTTTAAATAATCGATCATAGCTCGTTGTCAAAAAAAAAGAAAAAAATTTCGACAGCTCTATGGCCCTTTATTTGTTTTGGTTTGTTAATTTTGAAATAAACAAAAGATTATGTTCGTTTTAGTTTGTAATAAAAAAAATTTTTTTAGCATTTTATCATAAAAAAAACATTTGTAAGAAAGGTAGTTTTCTTACGAGTTCTATTTATAATTAAGGGTATTGTTGGTTATATATTAACAAAAAAATGACATGTTCGGAGTTTGGAATATCCCTCACCTTCAAACCTCTATTCGGATCCATATTTTAATTATCTGAATATAATAATATAGAGTTTCGTTAATATCGAAATAGAAATTTCTTTCAAAAATAAAATTATTTATATAATTAAATTAAGTATTATAATTTAAAATCGAATGAATATTAAAATTGGTTTAAGAGTTATTTAATGTATAAATTCAATTCATTATACCTATAATTGTTAATATAGAGTATAAAATCTGATAATGGATATCCAAAATATAAATAAATAGTATAATTGAATTGAATTTAAAATAATTAAAGTCATAGATCCGAATGTTGTGGAAGCGGATCCTGGATAATAATTGGAGTGGAGCCCCAGGGTCTACCTGAAACACGACCAAAAACTTTTCACCATGTGAAGATAGAACCCTACGATCGGAAGCTTCAAGCTCAAACAAGAGATGACACAGCGAGATGTTTACCCGGTGTTCACCGCACCACACCGATAACTTGGTGTGGCCGCTATATCTCACCGGAGCCGGGATTGAACCGGCAACTTACTATTGACAACGAAGAACTCACACTCTGAGCCTTTCGCCAATACAATCTTTCTCCGATCTCTCTCTCTCTCTCTCTCTCTCTCTCTCTCGATCTAACGGAATCCAAAGATAGAAACTGATTCTAACAACCTAAATCAGCTCATCAATGTTTCCTTAATTACTAACCGTAACACTTAACATCTAAGCCGGTTTTCCTAAACCTGATAAACATAAACCGTCTACCAACCTAATTGAGAGAGAGAACCGGTACAAATCAATTACAAACTTAACCAGATACAATCTAATCTAATAAGCTTAAACCAAGGTGTACCTAACCGGAAGACACATTGTCTATAATCTTCAAATCTCCTCCTTAGACAATGCCTTGAGTAACAAACCAACTCAACCTGATAGCAAACTCGAGTCATAAACTTGACTGCACATGAGCTCTTCACCGAACCCATCAAGGAACTCTTTACCAAGCTCCTCCTTGAGTCCTTTACCGGACTCTCATACATCACCTTCAGTCCTTATAAACACGAAGAAACTTCAGTGCTTCCTTAAGTTTGAACACTGGAAGAACCTTCGTGAAAATATCAGCAGGATTATTAGCTGTTGCAATCTTGAGAACTTGTACCTCTCCCACATTTATCAAATCTCTGACAAAATGGTACTTGGTAGCAACATGCTTTGTTCGTTCGTGGAACACAGCATTCTTAGACAGAGCAATCGCACTCTGAGAGTCACAAAAGACCTCTACAGTGTCTTGCGGGAAGCCAAGTTCTTCTGCAAATCTCTTGAGCCATACACCTTCCTTAACAGCCTCTGAAAGTGCTATGTATTCGGCCTCTGTTGTAGACAACGCCACTACTTTCTGGAGTGAAGATCTCCAACTTACCGGATTGCCGCCAGCTGTGAAGACCATACCAGTAGTAGACTTCCTATGATCTAAATCCCCACCATAATCAGAATCACAATACCCTCTTACAACAAAATCTCCTTTCTTCTTGAAACATAAGCATGTATCCACTGAACCTTTGATGTATCTTAGAACCCATTTAACTGCTTGCCAGTGAATTTTCAACGGTTTTGACATAAACCGACTTATAACTCCAACCACATGTGCCAGGTCTGGACGCGTACCAACCATGGAGTACATGATGCTTCCCACTGCATTCTGATACGGAACCTTTTTCATATACTCCTCCTGCTCCTTTAGCTCTTTGTCGGTTGCTGCTTTAAGCACAAAGTGTACTCCCAGTGGCGTAGACACTGCCTTTGACTGGTCCATCTCATAATTCCCCAATACTTTCCAAAGATAATCTTCTTGTGAAACAAACAACTCATACTTATCTCTGTTCCGTGTAATTTCCATTCCTAAAATCTTCTTAGCATCACCTAAGTCTTTCATGTCAAACTCTGAACTTAGAACTGCCTTAAGCTTCTGAACCTCAGCCTTATCTGTAGATGCTATGAGGATGTCATCCACATATAACAACATATAGATGTAGACATGCTTTGCATTCCGTTTGAAGTACACACACGAATCATACTCACTCCTTGAATATCCTTTTGACCTTATGAAATCATCAAATCGCTTATTCCACTGTCTTGGACTCTGTTTCAACCCATACAGACTTCTCTTAAGCTTGCATACTTTATCTGGATACCTTTTATCTACGAATCCCTCTGGCTGCTCCATTACAATGAACTCCTCCAAGTTTCCATGAAGAAACGCTGTTTTTACGTCCATTTGTTGTAGTTCCATGTTGAAATGAGTTACTGCAGACAAGACAAACCTTATGGAAACATGTTTGACTACAGGAGCAAAGATTTCATGATAGTCAATGCCTTCCTTCTGAGAGTAGCCTTTAGCTACTAAGCGTCCTTTATATCTCGGAGCTTCAACACCAGCTATTCCTGCTTTCCTTTTGAACAACCATCTACAACCGATTGCCTTTTGATTCTTAGGTCTCTCAATAAGATCCCAAGTATCATTTCCTTGTAATGAATTCATTTCTTCCTGAGCTGCCTCTAACCACTTGTCTTTATCTGGGTCAGCCATTGCCTCTTGCCATGATCCTGGTTCTGGAGCCGTGTCTTCAGATAATAAGCACACAAACTCTGCGTACTGGTCCTCTCCATCAGAACTATCACACTCGTAGTCCTCGAGTCTCGGAGGTGGTTTAATGACACGTCTTGGTCTGTCTCTAGCTAACTGATAATCATCAAGATTCTGTTCTGCATCCACACTATCTGTTTCTTCCTTAGTCCCTTCTTGAGCGTCTGTAGTAATCACATTGTCATTGTCTGTAGTATGTACTTCAGTATCTGATAATTCTAGGAGCTTAAGTCCAGATGGATATTAGATTTCTCGAGATTTCTGGCATATATCTTACATCATGGAGAAGGAATGTAGTACCATCTTGATTCTCGAATCTAACTGACCCAGTACCTCTGACTTCTGAAACTGAACTGTTTGCCATTCTGACTCTGCCATTTGTTGTCTCTTCCAGGTTTATGAATATATCTCGTCTTGGATTGAACCGGCAACTTACTATTGACAACGAAGAACTCACACTCCGAGCCTTTCGTCAATACAATTGGTATCAGAGCTAGAGGTTGAGTTCGGAGTCGAATCGAGAGATCAAGATCGGTGACGGAAGTTCCGGTGATTCGATTTCAAGATCGAAGAAGAAGATCTGCGATGGCGACTCACTTTGGATTCCGTTAGATCGAGAGAGAGAGAGAGATCGGAGAAAGATTGTATTGACGAAAGGCTCGGAGTGTGAGTTCTTTGTTGTCAATAGTAAGTTGCCGGTTCAATCCCGGCTCCGGTGAGATATAGCGGCCACACCAAGTTATCGGTGTGGTGCGGTGAACACCGGGTAAACATCTCGCTGTGTCATCTCTTGTTTGAGCTTGAAGCTTCCGATCGTAGGGTTCTATCTTCACAAATAATTGTATTGACGAAAGGCTCGGAGTGTGAGTTCTTCGTTGTCAATAGTAAGTTGCCGGTTCAATCCCGGTTCCGGTGAGATATAGCGACCACACCAAGTTATCGGTGTGGTGCGGTGAACACCGGGTAAACATCTCGCTGTGTCATCTCTTGTTTGAGCTTGAAGCTTCCGATCGTAGGGTTCTATCTTCACACACCATCTTTCTTCTTCATCTTCCCAATCCTTTCCCTTTTCATCTTATCTCGATGATGAGCTCGGAGGAAGCCAAAGTGGTTGGTAAGTCCGATCCATTTGCTATTGAATTTGGGGATTTCTAATAAAACAGAATGTGTCGGGATGTAAGAATCTGGTGATGTGGATAATGGATAGTTGGGGTGGTGAATGTAGTGCCAAGGAACTTTAGATTGTTGGAAGAGCTTGAAAGAGGAGATAAAGGTATCGGAGATGGAACGGTAAGCTATGGAATGGATGATGCTGATGATGATGATGATATCTATATGCAATCCTGGACTGCCACCATTCTCGGCCCTCACAATGTAAATATCTATTTCTCACAATGTGCCCTTTTCTTTATTACATTCTCTCTGTGTTTAAGCTTGTGAATATGATGACAAGATAAGCTGCTCTTTTTTTTTATGCTTTAACAAAATAAAAATCATGTTTTTTATTGGGTAATATCTCTGTGCCCTTAACTAATTAGCTTTTACTGGAAATGATCCATTACGTTTTGCAAATAGTCTTTAGGCTTTAGCTACATTTATTGACCACTGTTGTTTATAGTGAACACAAATAAAGGAAGAAGATTGTTTTAAGTTTCTGCTTTTGGGTTTTTTTGACAAGATTGTGATTGTTTATTTGTTGATTTGACTAAAATTATCAGACTGCATACGAAGGGAACTGCATACGAAGGGAAGATCTTCCAGCTGAAGCTCTTCTGTGGTAAGGAATACCCAGAGAGTCCACCAATTGTGAGGTTCCACACCCGGATTAACATGCCTTGTGTTAACCCTGAAACTCGTGTCGTAAGAGCTCTGTGACGATTGCTGGTGCTATATATATATATATACGTTGTGGGGCTATGAATTTATATGCTTACTCTAACCAGTTGTATGAAATGTAGGTTGAACCGAGTCTCTTCCCTATGCTCGCTAACTGGCGGCGAGAATACACAATGGAGGACATTCTGGTTAACCTGAAAAAAGAAATGATGACTTCACATAACCGCAAGTTAGCTCAACCCCCCGAAGGTTACTCATTTCTATTGTTGCAAAATCAAACACGCTTTGCAATTTTGCTATCTCCTGTTAATTCTTTTTGATACTAAACAAATAGCTGGTTCTTGCTTGCTTTTGATAACTCTTAGGACCATCAGGCTTCTAATCCAAGTCTTGTTTCTCTACTAGGTACCGAGGAAGCTAGGCCGGATCCAAAGGGACCAGCTAAATGTTGTGTGATGTGAAGAGAGGTTGGGACAGTTAGCAATTTGTATTAATGTAAAAGGGACAATGTATATAAAAGAAGCTTTTGGAAAATTGCCTACAACTTAATGTTATAGTGTTGTTTGAGATTATATATCTATAAATGTCCACCATGAACAGGTGATATGATCATCTAATAAACCTTCTCACTTCTTAGTTCATAATTCGTGTCAAGTTGTTCTATTAATTGCACAATATCCTCTGCTCAGATGCGCCAATTGTTGTGAAAAGGAGTTCGTTTTTTGCTTTTGTAATTCATATGAACGCTACTGAAAAACATTAATAGCTGATAGTACCGTGTGTGTGAAGAAAGAGATGATAATCAGACAAAAGGAAAGTGAAATAGATCAAACGTAGATTCACTCTCATCCTTATGCGCTAATGATATACAAAACGTTATCATTGATAATATATATATACAGGTACACAAAATTAGTAATGCAACCATAGATTAAAGTTACCAGAATAAGTTGCAAGATGAAATCAGTTTCGGTGCTTATTTCTATTGCTCTACCGAATTTGCCTTCAACAACCAATATTATCTGAATTTATTTTTCTAAGAGGTGTTGGTCTTGCCGGTATTCTGATGAGCAGCTGCATATATAGACGAATTGGGATCTGTTCTGAGGTGAGAGAGAAGGTGTTGAACATCTGGTCGGAGAGAATCTGCTGCTCTTCCGATTAATGCCAAGGTGTCTGGTCTCGCCTTGCTGCTACTTTGTACTGCTCCTCCTTGTCCCTCATAGTGAACAACATGGTGTCTGCAACCATTTAAAAACAAGACAAAAAAATAGAAACTCCATTAAAGAAAGTCTTGCACATTTAATCATTTGAGCAATTATATGATTGTTTTTCGGATAAAGAGGCAAATGAATCTATAGGTATGGTTTATTAAGAAGAAGCTTACAGGAAATCAATTAGATCTGCAATCTGGGATGCTTCAACAGGGACCGATGTCTGCGAGTTCTTTCCAAAAACATCGACCATTGTGGTCAAGAGAAGGGCTAGCGTCTGTTTAGAAACATAAAAAGAGAAGACCAAAATCAAAATTTGACAATAATTAAGAGGATTGTTATATACATCATCTGGAAATGGAAGATCATTTCAATTAGGTTTGCTTGAGAGAGGCTGTGTATTCTTAACAGACTTAAGAGCAACAATAAATTGAAACCATGAATGGCAGTTTAAATTCTAACCGTCTGTTGATATAACATGAACAGAAAGTTACGAAGTGACTCTACATAAGACCACTTCATATAGGTAGGAGACATAAGAGTACCTTGTTAAATAGGGCATGTGTGTGTGCAAGCCTCGGGAGAAGTGGTCCCATAATACGGAATGCGACTCTGAGCATTGCGACAGATGTTACAGGCCGAAGGTTCTTGATGATGAGATGCGTGCCATCAAGCCATTCTTGTGGGAGATTGCTGAAGAAAGCATGAAGCAAGGCGACTACATTTCCTGGCAAAAAAAGACACAACAATTCACATTTAAAAACAAACATTCACCTATGGATTCAGAAGCTACATATAGTATAGTGTGTACCTATAGCGGTCGAGGTGTTATCCTGAGCAGCCCACGTAGGATCCATCAGAGCATATCCAACAGCAGAGTCTACTTCACCTTGTGATCTCTTCCCGTCATTAAGCCACCATGTTTCCCGTATCACACGTGAAGCCTCCATGTAAAGCTGCGTGTGAAACTCTGGAGGCAGCTGAGCCAGCAAAAGCCCGCAAGCTTGAATCAACAGACACGACAGTTGCTGGCACGTATAACCGCTTCTAGAGACAAAGCTCGCAGTGTTCATACAACTGGACCTGCTTGCGCTCATGGAGTCCGTGCTCCCTCCTGAGGGAGACGTAGGCAATACCGAGCCTTGCCCAACTCCATTTGCAGCACCGTGGAACCCATTGCCAGACTGAATAAGTGTGGACTGTATGTTGACAATTATCTGGACAAGAGAAGAGACAATCTGAGCAGCAGAGACAGGAAGAGAGAGGATCTCAATCACGGCCGTTTCAAGAACCAATTGAGTGTAAGTTCCTGGGTCCTGGATCTGATAGAATGCTTTCTGTCCCTCAGAGGCGTTCGCTGGACCAGGCTGAGATGCTCCTGGAGTTTTACCATGAGGAGGTCTAGTTGAGCTGTTTAAGATGTCAGCCATTGAGCCAGTCCTAGAGCTACAGTTGCTGCTGCTGCTAAGTGGAGGTATAACGTTGTTTACAAGATTAAGTAGGAGATTGGCAAAGTAATCCAAAGGTGGGCATGTAGCAGGACCGGTGTGTGTGATGTACTGCGGGAATGATTCAGAGAATGGAATCTGCAAGTAAAATGGAAAATGATTATTTTAAGAATCAAAGAAAGATTAGTTGTATTTTTTACAATTACCTTGCTGAGACCAAGTACTCTGAGAATCTTCACAACAACTTGCCCGGGAAGATGACCATAGAAATAGGCGAGTATATCACGGACAAACGTGAATCTGAGAGGATGAAAAGCCAGAAAAGTCGAGTATGCAGTCAAAATTTTATCAGCTGTGTCCATTGCATTGTTCTCTATGAGCCTGTACACCACTAGAGGGATAACTGGAAGCAAACGTGCGGCGATATCATCAAAGAACGTTGGATACCTGATTTTAACACAATCAAAGAAGGCAAAACAAAACCCAATTTTAACAGAATGCGACACAAAATTGCCAAAAAAGCAGAAAAATGCTCACACACAAGTTAGAAATCATAAGACATTACCTGTCTTTAAAAGAAAGATGGTTACCAAGAGCCTTTTGGAGTTCATTGCGTTTGAAAACCTGCGTGCAAAGCCAGTGCTCAGGATTCCCACGGTTTACGCAGAATACATTAATCCTCTGTAGAAGCTCCGGTCTTTCAAGTATTCTTTTCTGTAAAATAAATCAGAAAAAAAAAATCTGTAAACTTTAATATGATCTTTACGCTTATTTCAGGTAAAGAGCATGAGGAACCAACATACTGCAATTATCAAGGCGTGTGGATCATCATCACGGTCAATGAGCGCCAGAAGAAAAATGTCGAGAGGAAGCATTTCATGTGTCCAGAAGAAAAATGAAAAATTCGCATCGTTCTTGTTTAAAACTTCCTGAAAAAAAAAATATTAAGAAGACGGATCAAGCAACAAAAAGTGAGGTCAAACTCTTCAGACAAACAAAAAAAGGAACCTCTAAACCGTGTCCTCGCTGAAGGTCTATATGTACGTTGTGAAGCAAAACATCGACGAGAGTGTATATGTTAGCAGTGACTTCGTCAGGAGAAACCTCTCTAAGCACCCGTGCCTGATAATCGTTTCAAAGATATCAATTAAAAATTACTGCACAAGTTTGAATAGAGACTAAGCAAAAACAAACCAGATTTGCGCTGTTGATCTTATCAGGGTTGCCTTGCATCAGCAGACAAGCACCAGCACATAGATACTGACGGTGTTGAGGAAAACTGTGACTAAGGTAAGTCGTAACATAAGAGGGTTCAGCAGATGGTGAGAGAAGCTGTGTGCACTGGTTTAACACAGTTGTTTCAGCCTGTTGCCACGCCTGAATTGATAGTCCCCTCTTGTCTACACGTACGATCAAAGCGTCACGGAGAAGGGATGGGAAATGGCGAAGCGTCTTCTCTGACCACGTATGCTGACTCGTCGCCAGTACTTGTTCCAGCATGGTTTGCAGATAAACCAGGTGATCAGCATCTGCGATGCCACGTGTTTTGATTGTGATGGCTAGTGTCATGATGGTTACCCGGCTTAATGTTTCAGTGAAGTCAGTTGGCCCCTGGTAACATAAGAACAATTATTAACACTTGAATCATCCTGACATAATTTTTTTTTTTTTTAAAAACACACTTACTTTTTGATCCCGTTTCACAGAAAAGAAGTCTCTGAGTGATAAAATGAGATTCATGCATAAATTTTCAGCTAGTCTGAATATACGGTGGTCGGCACGTTTTACTTTCAGTGCAGAAATTATTTTAGTAACATCATACATTAAACTTTTGCTTTTTCCTTGGTATCTGCAAAAGGTTCATTAATGAGATCAGTATAGAAGGATCTACTCCAACTTGAGAACTTTGTGTTCATTTTACCTGTATAACGGAAGCAAACGATAGTTCAGAATCTCAAGAACAAGCAAAGTCACGGCAGGCCTGCTTAGCAGAGAAGCATTTCTCTGGGCAATTTGCTACAGAAAGTTGGGCAATCTCATGAATCGCTTATGATTAAATTAAAAAAAAACTTAATAAACACAAGATGATGAGAATCAGAAGGAACCAACTAGCTTACAGTGAAATGCGAACGGAACATAGAGTGAGGGGAAATGAGTAGCAATCTTGTGTATGTCTCTACCATTGCAATGCTAGGAACAACCTGCACCCAGATGTTTTAATAGCACATCAAATTCATTGATCAGTGCATCACTTAAAACATATATAATATCCTTAGAGAGACAATATAAACATACCTGACTAACAAACAAAGCTTCTTCCATCTGAATGGCCAATTTCAAGCACAAGTTCATGGAAAAGCCAGATAACAATGACATGGGCAATGGGCTCACTTCCTGCATCATCATTACTCTGTCGTTTGGTGGTACTCCCGGCAACTCAGCCACGCCAGCTGAAGACAGCCAATTTATAACTGTTTCACACGCCGGTTGCGCCATGGTATAGGAGACAACCCAAAACATTCCAATCGACCTATCATCCATATTCATATAATCCATCGTGCGCTCTCCTGAAACCCCCAAACAAGGAACAGAATGAGAGAGAGGAGTTTTCGTAAAGCTTCCTAATTGGTAAGGAGTTGTCAAAATCTACCTTTGCTTCTCCACCACTCATCAATCTGTTTTCCCTTCAACAGCTGTTCATTGTTTAGGTATGCCCTAGTTGTTGCGCTTAGTGACCAAATACGTAGATTCTGACAACTGCTTACAAAGTCAAGCAACACACTCTGAGGATTATTGGGA